ATTACCTTTGAATCTTTCTGGTCTCATTCTAGCTGACCAACAAAACGAACATACGTTACCTACCTTTAGATAACTTAATAAACTCTCCCAACTTAAAGTTATTTAATACGTCAACTCTCCCACCTGACTCTATCACGTGTACTTTCGTGACAGAACTTAAAGTCATATTAAAACGGTAACAGTATTACAATTGAAATTAGCAAAATATTGGCATTACATTAAATAAATTAGATGAATTAATAATCAAAATTAAATAGATTAATAATTAGAAATCAAGAATTAATAAAACATAATAACTAATAATTAATAAAAATTGTATAATAAATAAATAAAATGATTAGTAATTTATAATATCACTAGATGTAAATAAAAGTTAATTAAAAATAAATAAATAAATGGATAAATAAATATTTATAAATAGAAATTAATTAAATATCATTCAGAATCTGATAATATCTCATATCAGGTGATCAAAGAAAATAATAAATGGTGATAATGCAAAAAACTAATAAAATAATAAAATTATAACATGTATAATAACAAGAAATAATAAACATAATACAAATTAATCTAAGTATTACAAATAAAATTAGTGAAATATTGGTATTATATTAAATAAATTAGATGAATTAATAATCAAAATTAAATAGATTAATAATTAGAAATCAAGAATTAATAAAATATAATAACTAATAATTAATAAAAATTGTATAATAAATAAATAAAATAATTGGTAATAAATAAATGGATAAATAAATATTTATAAATAGAAATTGATTGAATATCACTCAGAATCTGATAATATCTCATGTTAGATAATTAAGGAAAATAGTGAATGGTGATAATATTCCAATTTATAATATTTAATATAAATTTATACAAAATTTTATTAATTTAACTATGTTTACACTATTAGACAAACTTATTTTCTAGATTTTATATTTATATATATATATAATTTTATAAGTTTTAAAATAAATTTTCATGAAACTATATCTAAAAAACTAAATTCTTATTATTATAATAATAAAAATAAAAATAATTATAAAACAAAATTATAATTTATTAAAAATACTATTTAATAAATGTATTAAATATATTTTTTAAATTATTACTTGTTTTTTGACTTATTTATCTAATAATAAATGACTTTATTTACTTATTATTCTAGTTTTTGGATAGTATTTGTATAATAGAAGATTTTTTATATGAGTTTTTTCTTATAATTATAAAAAGAATTATAAAATAAAATAAATTTATTATCAAGAAAATTATATGTTATATAATTAATAAGTTTAAGATAGTTTTATTAATAAAGCTTCTTTATTATTATATTTTTTACTATTATTATCTTTGTTAGCACTCTATATATAGATTATATAGGTACATAATACAAAAATAACAAAATTACTAGATTATTTTAAGTTTAAACTTAAAATTATATTAAATATCAAAGAGAAATTATAAGATATTATTCAAGTAATAACTTATAAATTGTTTGCTTGCTTGTTATTAAAAATAAATATTACTAAAATATTTAAAATATCTTTTTTAATTAATTAAATATCTTTTATATCTAATTTAACATTTCATACTATTTTATCTTTTATATTATTTTTAGCATTTTTAGCATTTTATACTTTTTATTTATTGTGTAATTAATAAATTAATAAATTAGAAAATAAATATAATGTCCAATAAAAATGTAATAAAATATAAACCAATAAGATATTAAATTTAAAATAATCAATAAAAATTAATAATTAAGTGTTTAATAAAATATGAGTAACAAAATATGCTATAACATACTCCATTATATAAAAATAACTATTTATTATTTTGAAAATATTAATAAAATCTTATTGTTATTAATTCTTTTGATTTGAAATTAATAATAAAATATTCTTTTTGAAAGTCTTTGGGCCTTAGCATTTTGAAATCTTTGATTTAATTTATATGTCATTGTGTTAATTACTCTATCAATCTCAAATAGAACTTATTATTTTAAGTGTTTATTGAGAATGAAATCACTTATTTAATGATTCTGAAATGTTTCACAATGACAAAAACCTGAATCATTCTTTCTGATGGACTTCAAAAACTGGAGTATCTTAAATATCTTTTTTCCTATAGACAAAGTTAACGTATTTACGAAGACTAATCAGTTCTTTTATTTATTTAACTACAGCACCTATGAAAAAATATTATATTTCTTCTAATTTATTAATAACATTTCTTTTTTATTAGCTCTAGGAATAAAAGTATCTCTTAAACCAGCAAATTTTACTAGTAAAATTAGCACTTTAAAATGATTCAACTTTGTAAAAATTTACAGTTTTCGTAACTTTATTCTTTTATATATTTTTACGATTAAAAATTGTTTTCTAACTGTATTAATTTTTTGTGTGAATAATTTTGAAAATTGTAGCAAATTTGCTGGTTTAAGGTGTCTCGCACTGTAGAAGAGCGAAAGCGAACATTGTTGATGTTGTGACATATATTAAAATGAAATTCAAATATATTTTTAAAAAGAAAAAGAAATAATTATTTGGAAAAAAATCGATTTGTGGAGAGCTTTTTCTCGGATAAATTCACATGGTCAAAAACTTTCTCGTCTCTATTCTGTGTTTACCCAGTAGAATTCAAATTAGCAGCATTACTCTCCTTTGCATGATTCATAGAGACCTTAAAGAGGATATTTTCCATCAAAATCGATAACATTGGAATTCTCAAGGAAGAATTTGGAGAAATCGCAGAGGACTTTCACTCTTTGAAAGGTGAATGTTGATTTCATGACAGAGAATTCCACATTTCTCACCCTTAGTAGTGACGTTAACGCTGATATCAAAGGATCCGAATACGAGAACGTAGTTAATGTCTTTAAATACATTCATATCATGGTAGTGCGTCCACCTGTAAGTGTCGCTCTTTGCATTCTAAGGCTACACTGTTTTCTTCGTTATCACACAGTCTCAACCGTTCTTTTATTTTGAACTTGTGCCTTACTCACTATCATCATCAATGCAAGATATAATTATGTGAATACCTGTTTCGCTGCTTAACTTGATACAAAAATTAATTAATTTTGACTAATATGATAGAACATTTTTATTTAGGTGGTTCTAACATGAAGTATATGTAATCAATTCTTTTTTCAAAAAATATGATTCCTTAGAACAGCTGCCTAAAGTTCTTTTAAAATAAAAATACCGATTACGTATTAAGGAAAAATTTCAAATATGGAAAGAAATATCAAAATATTTTGTTGAGCAGGAAAACACTTTGGCAGGTGACTTTACAGGACGGAAAAAGTTTAAGTCAGGTAAGTAGTAAAATATTGTCCAGTTTAATTTAATTCTGTCAAAATAAAATTAATAGTTTTATTCTGCGACAGGGACTCGGTAAGGTATTGTTGCGCGTGTTCGTAATTAGGTGTAATTAACGATTTTACCTACAACAATTGAGGGGGGAGAGTGTATAGACTGATTTGTACTCGTTCGTTATCTAATTCCTGTGCCAATATCTACGGATATCGTCGGGTTTGGTAATATTAGAGGGGCTTTACGAGGCTTTGTGTTTAGGTAAGAGAATTTGGGAGAGTCAGTTTTCTTTAATTTTAAGTGACGGGTTACTTCTATCAACAATATTTAATAATGATAATTGCTTTTTCTAGACAAAAGTATTCTACATAATGCGTTTTACTATCAATCAACATGCCGTTTAATCAATAACAATACCTTTTTTGGATCAAAGGACCTAACCGTTAATCGTTAAAATCTTTTAACAAAGCTATACTACAGGGTGAAAGAATTGTACACAATTATTTCATTTTACAAGAGTTACGTTACTTGGAGAAGAATTGTATGCAATTAATTTCTGAATTTTTATTGACGTCCGTGAGGGCTATATATACATGTTGGTTTTTACATCGTAGAGTAATTGAAGAGAGATTGAAGAGAGAGAACTTTTTAAGAAAATAAAATCAATCGTGATTATAATCAAGTGTAGGAGTGAAAGCGAAGTGAAACAATGAGAAACGGAAAACGAATTCGTGAATAAAAGTGGAAAATTGATGGCGAAGTCGAAAGCGAAAAATGTGAAAACAGTGATCTAAAGATCAGTCAATAACGAACAACAGGTGATAACGAAAGCGAAAAATGGATGAATAAATAAAAAAAGGTAAAACGAGTAACGAAAAATGAGCTGACAATCAAATGTGAAAGTGAAAAATGTAAACAAAAAAAAAAAGGCAGATGAAAGCGAATTTCGTTGGGAAGAGGAAAACAGAAGTCGATTTAAAATAGGAAGGATGGGACATTACACTAAGGAGATCAGATAATCGAAATGACTTGTTGGGATCGGGATGAACGGGTTCCTTCGGAAATCACGAGATCAAGGAAATTTGTCACACTTCGGTAACAGTATAAAGATTGATTGCAATGTTAACACGACCACTGTACCTGATTATTGACATTGATGGAAAATACTTTAGGACTTAAAAAGGATTACATACTAATAAGCGATAAGCTGACGGATTACGAACATTCAGGCAGAATTGGACGTCCTTCTCCAACACATTAGCCTGATAATGCAAGAGACTGCTATATCAATTGAGATGTTATTGAATTTGATGGACCTGAGTTGAAGAATAGTCTGCTAGAATAGCGTTTTGGGAGTTGCACGCAAATCTTGGACTTAATTGATTGATATTAAATATTTGATAAATTTATAACGATTAAAATAGTTAAAAGAAACGAAAATAATCACGTGGTGTTTGACAATTTTGACCCCTGAATCTCATCGTGCATTATGTTCACTTTGGTGGATTATTGATAACAAAAATAATGTTCTCTACAATTCGAAAATACGCCGCATTGAAAAACTATCAATACGAAGTGACCACTGGTTTATACATGTTGGAGCCCTGGGAGAAGGCTCTTTTTAGTGAGTTTCTTTGCATCAACATCATCAATTTCAAGAAAATCGTTATTTTTACTATTATTAAACATTTTTTTCCATATAAATCGAAAAATAGATTCAATTTTCATAGTCGGATTGACTTTGTTGATTTACACCACGATTTTTGTCTTGCCCGACCAACTATCTCAGATTGCTGTTAAACTTGCTGATTATACTCCTGCCTATTACTGAATTCACAATTAATATCAGAGGTGTCGAGTTAGATCAGAATGGTATATTTGCAATTTTAATAGATGATTAATTTAATCTGTCTAGAGTAAATTTTTTAAATAACGCTACAACTTTGTTATTTTAGTTATTAAATTAAAACAAAAATCTATCATTTATCATTTATCAACTACAATTAGATGTAACCACCAAACACCCTTTTCTTCTTCCGCGACACTACTTCACTCTAGCGATGCTATGCAACATTTCTTCTTTGGTGATAAGATGACAAGTTTTCTCAATAAGTCCTAATAGTGAATTAACATTATTTGACCAGTCATTGAGCACCGTATTCGCGTCTTTAGGCGTGGCAAATGAGACGATCCCATCTGGTCGATCTATTTTGGCGTAGATTGTCTTTGAAACTACTAATTTCGAGAGGAAATCTTCGGTGTCCTAGAAAATTGCATACAAAACCGATTTTTACCAGAGCTTAATTAATATATTTATAATTTCATTGTTCAATTTAAACTTTTGGTTTACCTGCTCATTGAGGTCCAATAGTTGAGTCAATCTCTTGGTTCTGATGCGCGTATAATATTTCGCTACCACACGAATATTCTAATTCATATAATATATAAACACAATGAGAAGTTGTTCTAATTTTCGAAACACATAAATCATATATTGACTTGCATGTTCAATCACGCGTTTATGCAACTCCTGCCATCGTTTTTTGCCAGCTTCATCTGATTGAGAAAACACCGGGGTCTGTATCAATGCTACACCATATAATTCTTGAATACGCGGCCATCGCATCAACTCGGGTGTTATGAAACATTTGACGAGCTCGCTATTTTACATTAAAAAAAAAACACCATCGTTAATCAGGAATTTCATATAATAAAATAAAAATAATGTAATGTAATTACTAGTGTAAGCTCAATTTGATAAGATTAGGATCTTCGTAGATACGATGAAGCAGGTCATTCTGTTCGTTATCGTATGGAGATAGAACGATAAAATAGATGACATTTTGAAGGACCTATTCGTTTAACGAGAGTTAAGTTGGAGGGTTTTTTAATTTTAGGCAATTTTATTAACTGGACTTACATCTCTCCATTTGGTTTCGTCATCTTTTATCGAGGGGGTATCATACACCTGTCGATAGTATTTGCAAACATTCAGGTATTCTTCTTCGTGCAATGCATGTTGTATCATTAATTGGTAGTAACGAAGTTTCAAATCCTACGAGGAAATAATAATAATAATAAATAAATATTCGAGATACAGAGTAAAATGCAAGTCGGTAATCCTCTCCAGTAAAATACCTGTTGTTCAGGTTCCGCAAAGAATTTAATATTGATTTTTCTGCTAACAATCTGAGTTCTGGTATAATCTTGTTTTGCAAGAGTGAGACGCATCTGCTCTAGAATGAAATCGGTCTTTTCTCGCTTTTCCATCGAGCCAAAAGTCTCGACCTAAGATGTGATTAACGTCAATGAATGTGTCAAATTTTTTTCTATTCCAAAATGAGGAACAGATAAATTGAAACCTACCTGCAATTCTTGCAAAATATCTGCAGCTTCATTGAGTTTCCCTTCATCCTCTCGTATTTTTGAAAGCATCCTTGTCAAACGAGCACGTTCAACTTCAACATAGATCTTTTAATGAATTAAAGAATCAATTAAAATGCTCCATATAATAAAAAGATCCACTACTACATACTTTCCCTTCAGTTACGGTGCGCAATGTAACGATTAATTCTAACTTTGTGTTAAGATCCGGAGTATCATCAAGATATGACATTGTCTCTTGAATCATTTTAGTAATAGCCTAATAAAAAAATTCATGAATTCATCATAACAACAGGCGTACTTTAATTTATTTCCAAGCAAATATGCAATGCTGACCTGTTTCAACTGGCCATGTTTTTTCGTGAGCAGAATAACATATTCGTTCAGCAGCTTCCAATCCCCATAAGTGTGAATTAGACTGACAATATGAGCTAACACGCGAGTGGATGATTCGAGATCAGCTGCCTGTGATTAACACAAATACACACAGAGCTACATAAAAAGGACTTCTTTACGATGTTAGCAGAAAAGTGGTGTTAAAAGAGCTGATAGCAACCTGACGTGTTTGCTTTTCAAGGCTTAAGAGCTGTTCTAATGCTTGATTCAAAAGTCCTTGCTAAAATGCGCAAAAATATTAGATCAAAAACGTTTCGAAATTTAGAATGGCAATAGGAAAGTAAAAACCTTGGCAAGAGCTTCTGTTTCTGGCAAAAGTTGGTCTACTAGTGGACTAAAATCTTGGTCAGGTTTTGCGAGCTTTCCGTCAGACATTATGGCAATTGACAAAAAAACTAATTTTTTATTATAGGTTACGTCATATATGTTACAAAAGCATATATCCCGTGATATTTCAAAATTGATCCTCATGGTTAGGTTACTATCGCACGTAAAATCGCCGAAGAAACTTAGCGACCAAGTCGTATGAATTTTGAAGAGCTTATGGCTCACTCGACATTTAGAAAAACGATATGCTTTGGCTTGGATAAGATTATACGGTACAATTAATGAAGCACCATGTTATCGATAGCGGTAACAAGCCAAGTAAATTTCGACCACGAATATAACGCGTGATAGTAAGATCGTTAGCGTAAACCTGGGTCAGTTATTTCCTCTTTAATCGTTAACCATCCAGAATGAAATTATCGTTATAGAATAACTATAAACGACGTGTCAAAGATTTCGCGTTTAAATCAATCGTTGCAGCTCTCGCAACCCCTGCAAGGGGAATATCGGATGGTTAGGTCGGAATCACATGACCCAAAATTTTTCTCTGTAGTACTCCATGCATCATAAAATAAAGCATCCCATCGTAAATGCGTGTTCAAATATGAATCGTTTCTCTCGTCGGTTTGTAACTTTCATCCCACATGACTTGCTTAAAGATAAAGTGACTTTAAATTTAGTTCAAAATAATACCTTATTTCTTCATAAAAACGGGTATAAGGCGTTTAAAAATGTGTATACGCGTTCACTTTGGACAAGTTTAAACGTTTATGATGGTGGTGGTAATAATGCCAAACGTGTTAGCTATGTACGACACCATCAAATAAGAAACTTGAACCAAGATACTAACGCTGCAGGTGTATGGGATCCGTTTCCAGGTAATTAGGATAAATTTGTGGCTTTTCGAGTTTTGACTGATGATATTCCTATACATTATTCTTACGCGGAATCAATCAATTAATTAAATTAGATCCATTTCAACCGATTGTTGAGAAATCAGCTGAAACAGCATTAGATGATGATAACGATCCAAAAGACAAAAAGTCAAAAGGATCACAACAGCATAAACAGAAGACTGGCGTTGCGTCATTAATGTCACCACGTGTTATGGATGCAGTATTAACGACTGTAATGGGTTTAGCAGCTGTGGGACTCGGTGGTGTATTCTATCAGACATGGTTGGTGGTTAGTTAATTTCTAGAAAACTCTTCATCAATGAACATCCTTATTTTTATTAATTATGGTATAAACATAAGGTATGAATGGAACGAAGTGCATAAAGTTTTAGCGGCTTTCACAAAGAAATCATCATTATTGAAATCGCGACTCGGCGATAGTTATTTCCCGGACGATAATAGAGATCGAATTAATCGTGTTGTGGCTGGGCAAACTCGTTCGAAATATTATTTACTGGTCGGTGAAAAAGGAACCGGGAAAACGCAATTGGTTTTGAATGCAATGGATAAAATTGGACATTATGGTGTGGTATTTTGTGAAGCACATTCTGATAGTGAGGTCTTTAAGGCGAGGCTTGGGAAAGCGTTGAATTATACTTATCGAGAAGATTATGTTGGAGGCTTATTTGCAAGAGAGGCCCCAGAAAGAGGTGATGACTTTATATTGAACTTTATTAAAATTTTCTCCACTGTTTGATTTTCTATTAAAAAATGATACTTAATTGGACTAGGATCCGCACTGCTTGACGTCGAAAGAGCTCTTAATATGGTGGAAATTGTCGCGCATGATTATTTGAAAAGAAAAGGGAGACCTTTAGTGTTGATTATTAATAATATTCATTCATTTAAAGATGACGAAGATGGCAACGACTTATTAGAGATACTTCAACAGCGTGCAGAATCTTGGGCTGCTTCAAGGATTGCGACGGTGATCTTCAACACGGATGATTATGCGGTCTATGAGCGAATGAGTGAGTCAAAGTTGACAATTCTATCTAAACTAATCTTTATTAGGATATAGTTTATTGATTTCTTAAATTCTATATAGAAAGAGATGCTTCTCGAATGGAAGTTATAAGAGTAACCGACCTTAATACTGAAATGGCAGTAAAATATCTAAAAAGTCGGCGCAAAAAAAACAACCATCATGAACCTGAAGAGGTGCTTAGGAGATTTGTTAAGGAGCGCGTTGGAGGACGCCTTTCATTCTTAAATCGATTAGCGAGGGCAACGGATCTTGAGCGTATGTATTATTTTCTCAATGTATATTATTTTCAATATGCCATTTCAGATCACTGACTATTGGTATTTATTTCTACAATTAGATGCGGTGCAAGTTATGGAAGACGAAGAATACACATGGATTGTCAACACAATTGGTCTGATACCCGATTTCGAAGAATCAGAATTCGACGAACAAAAATATGCAGCAGCCGCATGGAAATTGATTCGTGCAATAGTGCGATCACCCAGCAAAACTATCCCACTAAATGAGTGCCGTGTGATTACCGGAAATTCACGTTTCCTTCGACAAATGGATCACGATGGAATTGTGGTGATTGACTTGCAGAATAACGTAAAAGCCGATTCGAAAATTCTATGGAACATTTTTAACAAGATAGTGAATAATGAGGATTTCGATGATTTGTTGCAGAATGTGCTTGAGCGAGTGGAGGAGGTGGATAAAGAGCAACGAACTAGAGAATTGATTTGGAGTCGGAAAAATGATCAAACTGTTCGATGGGGCCCTGAGAAAAAAACTGGGTGGTTTTTTTGATCTAATCCAAATACTTGTACATTTATTACAACAGATTGCCTTATAGACGGACCATGATTTTTTATTTAATGAATAGATATTTTTTGGTGAATTATAAAAATAATTTATATTTTATCGCAAAAACACCCTTTCAGATTGAAAAAGTTAAAATTTTTTTGTACACGAATAAAATTAGTTTACTAATCACAAAAAGAACTATTATACTAAAAATTGTTCTAGCTATGCTAAGATTGTTTTTCAAACAGGTCCATAGCTTTGAAATTCTGTCGGACTTTTGCTATCCAAGGATCTAATTTTTAGAATGGAGTCATCCAGCGCTTTACATTGCGAACAACGATTTGATCATACTATTGGTGTCGTTAAATTCTGGCTTTGAGACTTCCCAGATCTACAGTTTCAGAGCGGTGCAAAAAGAGATAAAGGAATCGTGATCGAGAGCTATTTCCACCAGGCTACCAATTAGGCATATTATCAAAAGGAAATCGAGATATTGCGCTTGATACGATTCGTGGTGACTCTCAACCATTCAACATCAATAGTAAAATCTCTCGAAGGCTGAGCCCTCAATTTAACTATTTCTTTCTCATTATTCATTCTTGAAGTTCACGATAAATCTTTTTAAAAGTTGATTTTAAGGTTAGGATTAGGGTTAAATTTAAAATTAAAATTGCCTTTTGATTAGTGCACCAAGCCAAGCTAGATTTAGGCATTTGCTTACCATCTTTCTTTTTCTACCATTTGAACTGTGTGGATAGTGAAAACTAATCACCATCAGAAGTGCTGGTTGTATACACATTTAAAAAATATATCTTAGTTGATGGATTTCCAGGTAATGGATATTCTGTCTGACATACGAACAAAATAATTCGAGCGGTCGAACACGCGACATTCAATTTCTGGAAATGTACAGAGGCAGCGCTCGAAATTAAACGCGCGACATTTTTCACCCAGAAAGACATCACTAGGCAGCGTTCGAAACCAGAGCCAAAGTTGCCTTCGGCTAAAAATTATTAATAATACTATCGATGACTGTTAGCGCGATTCTGAGTATGGTGCATAACATCTAGTCATCAAACATTTGTATTTTATAAAATGTATAAACATCTTTACTAAGAAGTAAATACCAAATTTAATCCGTGAATATGATAGAATAGGTCCTTTCTGAGCATATTCACGGATTAAATTTGGTATGTTTAATGACTTTGGATGTTATGCACCATAGAATTAGCAATAAGACAATTTAATACTTTAAATTTAAAATTGATATTTATCATCTATAATTGTATTTATTAAAATATTCGAATTAGGTATTCATTATTTTTTATGATCAGTTAATATTTGATTTTTGAATGCATCAGATTTATTTTGACTAGAAAGGGAAAAATGAAACTACGAAATGCAAAAATTTCCAATAGCTAAATTGCCAAATACTTTTTGATCGTTTTGGACCATCTTAACAAAAAAAGCTACAATATTATTACATTTGGTTCTGTGGGTTAAATATCAATTACAATAAATATACCAGTCACCCAAAAATATATTACTCTATGAGATTTTCTTCATCGAAATCTTCTATATAGCCGTAAACTTGGAAATAAAAAAATATTTATGTATTAATAATAAAAAGAATTGCTCGTCATCGAAACGATTCATTTGGATGATAATGATACTCACTAATTGCCAAACTCCCTTAGCGTATTGCACGATCTCATTTGCACCCATTTTACTTTCACCGTAGACTCGATCCACAAATGTAATTGGTACTTCACCGATAGTGAAACCTAGATGTCGAGCTCGCACCATCATTTCCATTTGAAAGACGTATCCTTTGGAGATAGTCGCGGAAATTAATCGTTCCAACACGTGTTTTTTGTATAGTCTTTATAATGATCCATATTAATTAATTCATTCGATAATTCGAAGGGTAATAATATCAAAACAGTAAATAAATTACCGAAAGCTTCCAGTAAGATCAGATACGCCTGGACGCAATAATGTAGAGGCTAAAAAGTTTGCACCGCGACTTTTTGATTAATTTTGGGTCAAGTTAGAGAAAAGAATATAAAATTTTGTAAGAAGATATATGAAAAACCAAATTGAGACACACCTTATCACCTTACGTCGAAGATCCCACCCATAAACTCCACCATTACCAGCATAACGCGTCCCAGTAATGATATCATAGTTTTTAGTTTGCTGTAGTCTAAGAGAGTTCGTGTCGGAAAAATTGAAAAAAAACCAAAGCAATACTCCATAAATAAGCAGTTCAAATAGATGGAATCTATTTTCCCAATACAGAAAATAAAAATTCTATAGTTTTACTTTATGAATTGTGGAATAAATTTTGGCTATATAGAAATCATAATTAGAATAAAAAATATAATAAGTGTCAAGAATTAAAATGTTAAAATTTATTCGGTACTTACATGATGTGAGAAATCGGCGTCCATGATAATAACAAAATTTCCAGTGACAAATTGTAGTCCATGAACATATGCAGTCCCAAGCCCAAGCTTTCCTGCTCTTGGTTTTAGCAACTTTTGTATAAAAAACAGAATGGAATTATTTCACAGGTATTTATTTATATAAAATGTAAATTATATATTACAATATGCTCAGGACCATAAACGTTAGTTAGTTGCTTTGCTATTTCTTGGGTTCCGTCAGGTGAGGCATCGTCCACAATAATAACCTCCCAAGGAAGCTCACTATAAGCCAAGTAGTCATTTATACAGTAAGTATACAACATATTCTTTGAGAATTGGTACAACTTCATATACTTACTTTTCTTTAAAAGTTTTAGCTAATAACCATATAATGATTGGGAGATTATTACGTTCGTTATATGTTGGAAGGATAACACTATACTTGTTGAAAGAGGAAGACATGATGCGTGCGACACGTAAATCAAAAATATAGTAATGGCTTTATTCAGTTGCACATGATCATAATGTTTATAGATGATTGATTAACAAATTTTATACCTTCAAAAATTATTCTCGTCGTTGACATTATTTAATTGTTTTAGAAAAATGGGTAAAGCTAAGAATCATTCTAGTTCTAAAAGCAGTACCAAACATGCCAAAAGCGGGTAAGTGGTGATTCTTGCTCTTTTTAATTGGAATCGATGTTGGTTAACGCTTTTTTTTAAAATTTTCCAAGTCGAGCTGCGGAAAAAGCTGCTGCAAGCGGAAAAAAAACTACTGCAATTAGCTCTGAAGAGTCTGCAAAGAGCAAAAATAGGGGCGCGGATGCAAATGTCTCTTCGGAATTAGGAGAAAATTTAGTGAACTTCACAGGTGTAATTGATGCAGATTTGTCCTTTATTATGAAAAAACTCGCTAAACGCGATACTACAACAAAATTGAAGGCATTAGAAGATCTAGAAGGATATTTACGTGCAAAGGAAGCAGAGGGAAATAATGTTACAGGATTAGAAGACGCTGTTGAAGTTTGGGTATATACATGCAAACATGAAACGATCTTTAATGAAAGTATAAGCTATAAATGAAAACTTTATTTTTATATTAAGGCGAATTTTTATGTGCGGCTAGCGATTGACTCGGATCGTCGTGTGCGATTGGCGACAAACACTTGTCATTTATTAATCGTGTCAAAGTTGAAAAAACGATTGGCGCCAAATTTAAAAGAAATCATTGGAGTATGGGTCACTTCGTTTTTCGATCAGAGTAAAGATGTTGCTAGAGTTGCGGTGGAATCATTCCAGGTTTCGAATCTTAACTACAGTTGGATGTAATTCAAGTTGCGAATTGATCAGAGGTGATGACTTACCTGTAATTTAAAATTAATAGGCTGCTTTTTCCGCTGAGAAACGAAACGAAGTGTTGTTGTTTGGCCAAGCAGAAATCTTGAATTATGTTTCTGAAATACTTTTTCAGAAAACACCGGAAACACTAAGTGAGATAAATACAAATTTATATACAATGTAATTTCAGTATTAATTAGCAAATTTCATTTTTGAATTCAAAAGAAGGTTCGAAATTCATATCACAAGAAGAGATGGAACAAAAGTATGCGCGAGTCGTATCAAGTTCATATTATGCTATTGCATACTTAATAGGTATTGATTAGAATTGATTGGATGAAAAATGCAAATATACAGATAGTAATAATAATTAAGTTTTTTTTTTTAATAGAGCAATTAAAAGAAACTGAGCTGTCTAAAGCAATAGAGTTGTATGATGATTTATTTGACAATCAAAAACTCTGGGAGAATTTGTCTAATACAAACTCGTTGATCCGTAAATCGTGTTACAATCTAATAAAGACTTTGAGCACAAAATGGCCAAGTAAGATATTTACGTGTTTTATAGGTTTTTTATTTTATATTCAAATATATTGAATCGCTTGAACTTACGATTCTGTGAAAAATAATAGAGAAAATTGAGGAACGACTTGAATTATTGAGTCACGTTTATCTAAGTGACATATTCAATGATAAAGACGCGAGGATTCACGGAGATTTGTGGGATTCGTTGTTGATGTTTACTAAAAGTAGGTCAAATTCAAATTAATATATTGAAAGTTTATTGTTATATGGTTGCGTATTATATTGAAAAAAAATATTTTTTTTTGCCTCAAGGTTTTCCACAGTCATGGGTAATTGCCACCAAAGAGAAACCAATGCTCCCTGAATTATATCATTTTCTTGAATCCGGAGCTTTCGGGTCGGTCAATGTCTCATATCCGAGTTTATTACCGTTAATTAGTCAATTGCCACCTGAGGTTTGGCACCAAAATTATTTATTTTAAAGCAAATATACCGAATCTTCTTTTTATTACAGTCTATGTTATCAAAATAGCTTTTATCCACCGATCATGAATTCTATTCAAAATTTTTTGCGAACTTCTGGAAAGGTTTAACAAGCGGTACTATTGATCGCTCGAATTCGGCTGCGTTTTTCAAAGCGGATTGTGAATGTTTAACGTATTTTATTCTGAAGTTAAGGTTTGTATTTTATTATTTTATTGTACTTTACATTATTTTTTTAGCTCAAATATTAATATCATTTGTTGTATTATGACAATCAATATGATTAAAACACCAAATCTTGTACTAGCAAGTCTGAAAACGAGAGAGACTCGCAGACGTATCTATTCGAAGAATTCTTTCGACTTGTTGAATTGTATCTTGTTGGATTTCAGGTGAAATCTTAAAACCTTTGTCGATTCTCTGTAATCAAACATCGTATTAATATTTTGTTAATTTTAGGGAGCTGATAATAAATTTCAAGCAAGAAACATGTGTTATGCGCTTTCCACTCATATTGTTCTTCTCTTGTCAAAATCAAAAGGTAAAATATCTATGCAATATTAGAATTTGCTGCAAAATATTAACGTGATGATTAATTTGTATTTATCTTTTAGACGTGTCAGAATTGCTACTGGAAAGAATGAGAAGTTTGGTGACCCAAACTATTGATAAAGATGCTCTAACGGAAATATCACCCAATCGAAACGCGGATGCTGATTATAAAGAATTTAGTCAAAGATTGATTGATCTTTTTGGTTCATTATTAGCAAACACAAAAATTGAGACACAAGAGGACAGGGAGACGGTATTTTGCTGTTTAATAAAGAAATACTAATTTTTATGTTTGGACAAAATAAATGAACTTATACTGAATCTATTTTCAAGATTAATAGGTTGATCGCAAATATATTTCTCACTGCTTTAGCTAAATGCGAGCAGTCTTGGGGTGGGTATTATTCCTTATAGGCTTTTTTTGATCTTACTGTATGAAGTCATTAAACTATATGTTTATTTTTTTTTTGCGTAATTTCAAGGTCAATCTGAAGGGTTATATTTCTTATTAGCTACTTTAACAAAAGATTTTATTGATATAATTTTCTCAGACGTCACTACACTAAAGGTGAGCCTAAAATATGCTCTTTCAAATAATAGTTTATAAATTTTAATCAAGTCTATATCTTTCGGAAAAACTAGGCTTTAGAAAATTTTCTTGATGGAAAATTTCATAGAAATGTTACATTAGTATCTTTTCCATCTGTTAATTATCTCATTGACATATTCTGGATATGCTTAACTCATAAAAAAGATACCCACGAAATTCAACATTATTGGGACACTTTAATATCAACAGTCTTGAAAATCGAGGATATGGACAGAAAATTGAAGATTCTCTCATGTCTGATCTCTAATGTGGGTATGGTGTGCTTAATTGCTCAGAGTTAAAATTCTTGTAATAATAAAATATTAATTGTTATAATTTATTTTTCTTAATAAGCGCCCATTTGGCAATGACCCTCGTCAGCTATTCAACGAGGAACTTGACGCATTTCTCTTATCCTTGACTGATACATTAAATGAGCAACTTGAAGAAAATATAAGAGAACAAATAGATAATTTGTTATATGTGGTTCTTTTATCAACTGGTGCGGACGTTTTTTAAAGATGGTAAACTCTCGTTCTTTTCTTTTGAAATCGCGATTAATTCTATGTGTTATAACTTTCTCCTTCAAAAGGTTATATATTAAAGCCAGAAACACGGATGACTATTTTGAATAAACTTGCGGATGTAATCTCAAAATTCATACAAGACTATTTTGTCTCGGAAAACAGTTTTAGCATATCCAAGGAACCAATTTTCTCTAGTCTGCGGATATTTGATAAGTTATCAGCAACCAGCGAGTTTCTTGAATTTTTATTCGATTCTCACCTGATATCAACGATAGGAAATATATATGAACTTGTCTTTTTAAAAACCAATGGAAGCTTGGACGAAGATGCTATAAATACTTTTATAAAGGTGTCAGAAAGGATATGGCAAGGGATTATACAAAATCGTGAAACTATTAGCCGAAAGGATGCTATAGCAGAAATGATCGTTCACAAGATAAAATCAGCATTATTGAATATTCATTATTCGGTAAGGTGTGTATCATATCACTCGTTCATTAGATTATAAGTAATATATCGATGCTTTTGTTAATTGCTATTTTTAATAGTCCTACCGACTTTGCCCAACGAGTCATAAAGATTATTCAGGATTTATACGAAAATGATCGTGCAAAGATACAAGAGATATTAGCCCAATTTCTATTAAGCAATAAACAATGGCGTGAGTTCAGTGAGCCTTTCTTGTCATTGAATCTCAAATCTTCACTGTTTAGCGAGTCTCAATCGATAAATACCGTATCACAGACATCACAAACCGGGATTGATGGGTCAAGTCATAGCTTCACGTACGATTCTTATGGTTTAAGCATTTACGCGCGTCAAGCATTGTTCATGGTAGAGCTTATTAATAAATATGGGATAGAGATATTCCTTAAAAAGAATTACGAAGACGAAGATGATGACGATTTAACTATAAAAATTAATATATTATTACTTGAATTACTTTCATTTTATGTATTATGCGCGGATATAATAAGTGCTTATAATACCGGTCAACATATATGGGATGCTACTAGTGGGGAAGAAAGAAAATTTCAGATTTTTAAAACAATACAAGTGGACATTATTTCCGCCTTGAAAAGATATCTAACTACTACCTTATCAGAAGATCCGTTCAATTTCAAAGAATTTTTATCGCGTCTCGGTCATGCGCCTGATTTTCCCGAGGAAGAAGATGAAATAATTGATCCGCAAAGTTTATTAATTGAAACTATCAGGAGAGCTCATGGCATCCAGTCGAGACATTGGTCTAGAGTCTTGGAGTTGTTGATTAGTAATGTTTTTTCAATCGCGAATTTGTCGACGCCAATGGCTGAAAATTTTTTGGAATTTATCAAGATATCTAATTGTAAGTTATTTGTTTGATTCTCGTGATGTCAAACTTTAATTGCAAATCGACTTAATTTTTTTATTGATAAACTTTTTACAGTGAATTTAAAACTAGATTTGGCCTTAATTTCATCACTTCGATCGTACCTCGAATTATCGGCTAAATATAAAGCTTTCCAAAACAATCTAGCCGGAAGATTATGTAATTTAGATGCAAAAAATATCTTCACAAAAGAAACCTTATTAAAAAACAATGGTATGCATCAATCAATTCTCCATTTTGCTTTGTGAGAGTCTGATCTTATTAAATTTTGATGATTTCCTAGGATGGACCTATATGTCTTTATTGGTGGCTACTGCATCAAAAGATGATCAATTTTTTTTGCAACAAGCACGAGGCCGAAATTTGCTACAACGCATTCAAGCTTGGTATGAAGAATTAAAAGATGCTCCGGAACCATCTTCGTATGCCGAACTTGTACATGTTCATATCCAGATCGCGCGTCTACTTAATTTACTTGTACCTATGACTCGGGATCTTTACGCCAGCCATTGGGACTTCGTTTTACAACGAATCCAAAATTGGCTGCAGGTATTACAATAAATATAACATAATTTAATATGATAATTAGCTTGATTATTCATTTTTTTTTAAATGTGAGCTATTAGTTTGAGCGTAACCTTGTTCTACGATATGAAGCTATTCAATTATACAATCGATTGGAAAACCTTAGTGCGTCGTCAATTCCTTCTGACGAGTCAGAAGATGAGCTTTCACTCAAGTTGGAAGAGTATCAACCGAAGATTTATGCACTTTTAGCGGATTTCTTCTTCGAGGTTTCTAGTATGTGTTCTTTACGTGATTAGATAATTAAATTACCGACTTCCAATTTTAACGATTTCATCTCTTTTATTTAGCACACAAGAATGAAATTCTTTCGGATAATTATTCCACTTACTTGGATGCATTATCTATTGCCTGCAAATCACTTTCTTTGTCCCTGTTAACGCCTAAAGCGTCGCAGGTAATTTGTCATTAACGTGGTTTAATGATTTGATTATTGTCACCTTTGCCTGTATTAACATAAACTAGCTCTCTGAGACACTGCTAGTGCCACATCTAGGGATTCAAACATGCACATATTCATTGCTTCGAAAAATGGCCAAGGAAAAAGTGGTTATCTTATCAGAAGAATTAGAGATTATTAGTGCTTCAGGTAAATTGCAATTGCATGACTTCAATATAGATTAAAATGGATCGAATGATCATTGAAATGAATCTTTTTGATGTTCAGACAATACTTTCAGTGCTAAATTCGATGAAGGATTGAGCACTTTGATTACCGAAGCTCATCAAAGTGATTACTTAAAAGCAGTTATTAATGGAGATCATAATGTTTTGGTAAGTTAGTAAATCTACAGAAAAGCTTCGGTTCTATTTAAAAGTATTATTAATATTTGAAGGTTTTTTATACATTACAGGCTCTTCATCACACCTTTGGATATTTTCTTGCATGGAAATTGATATTAGATCACTTTGATTATACTGTGAGATTTTCATTTCTTTTACACACAATGAGTTGTTACGTTGATGCTATAATGATTAATTGATTCTTTTATTATAGACGCAAAAACTCAAATTTCACTACCTCGATCATCTCAGAAACAAAATGTTGGATGACTTTCTTCCATATGTGTTTCAAACATTGGGTCTTACATCAACTGCTCCTACATCATTTGATCTAAATAAATGGGACTTTACAGAATTTTTCGTGGAAGGTAAGAAGCTTCTTGAAAAGATAAACTACACGATCTTTATGCAATGGAAAGTCTCAAATTAATATTGTATGAATCACCATGTAGCCTTTGAGATTGAACTTGGCCCTGAAGTCGGATTTCCGGTATTCGGCGCACATTTATATTATCGAGCATTGAGACATTTTCCTTCGGCTATAAGGTTAGTGACGAACAACGGATGTAACGCTAGTAATGTTTTCTCTAACAATGTTGCGTTTTTTTAGAGGATGGTGGGTCGAATGCAAAAAGCGTCATTTATATGTTGCCGTGGATAAGTAAGTATTATTAGTTAATATCTTGCAAATATGAAATATTAATATCTCGCAAATGACATTTGTTATATTTAGCTACACCGAGAAATACTTCTCGCCGATTATTATACAACAGCAATTGGACCAAATCCAACGAGAGGATGTTAAAGCACAACTGCAAGAGGATGATAAGCTGCTTATTCGGATCGCGCGTGGTACTAATGAAGTGATTGCCGAATTCCGGATAGACGAATATGTGATGGCGCTGAGCCTACGAATGCCAAATAGCTTTCCATTGCGACAGATTGAAGCTCATACGGTGGAACACGTGGGTAAGACAGAGGTCAAAGATTTAAAAAAGGCTCAGTTGCCTGTACAAGCAGTTATCAATACTCAGGTATCTCTATTATTTGCATCGGTTATCAATCAAGCTTAATATTATATAACTTTCTTCAACTCCTTAATAGGATGGAAGCTTGGAAGTGGCACTGAATTTATTTAAGAAAAATATGTCACTTCATTTTGAAGGACATGAAGATTGCCCGATTTGTTATTCGGTAATTAGTCTCGATGATCG